TTCTCTTGTTTTCGTTTCTTCTTTCCGTAGGAAATTCCCTGGCTCGCCCAATACTACTCATTGCACCAAACGATGCGATCCCGGATCATATCTTCGAGTTCCTTAGTGAGTGTTATCGCCGTTCATTGCTTGGAGTGGATACGGCCGAACCATCGCTTTGTACAGCTTCCGGCCCTGAAGTTACTTCCTAGGGGTTTGGTCGACGTTGAGTCATTGCCACGAGACAGCCATCCATGGTCGTTCGTTTAAATCGATTCGAGTCGAGTCTTGAACCCGGCAAAAAGTGTGCTACCTTGACTGTTCTTTTTTTTGTTGGGCAAGTCATGCACGAATACAGTCAACCGACCACGATCCACCTTGCACACACCACGGTCATAGCCGACTACGGTCCAGGTTGCGCACACTCCGGACAGCATTTTTTTCTGTTGACCGTTTACACGCCGAGCCTCGGCAAACTCACGGCAGATCGTGGGCGTGCGCCATTCCCCCATAGCCAGCGGTCAATTGTTCGTCCCTGGATGCCCCACAGGATGCCATTAATTCAATCCAGGCCTGTCGGCGAGCATCTCGCCGATTAGGTTCTCTTACTGCGGACGCCCGCATCTATCCGCGCAACGAATTCCGGGATTGGTACCGAGGGTACCCTCACGGCCCTCCCTTTTTTCCTTTTTTTTTTTTCCCCTTGGTTATTTCCTAGTAAATACGTCGACTGGTTTTCCGCGCGATCTTGGCTGTTTCTCTCTGAGTTGCGACGGATGTTTCTGGCTATTATGGGGAAGTGAATTCCGTTCTCAATTTAGGTAGCGACCCTCTCAGTAAAATCCGTCTTGTTTCGGCTTATGTTGACCCCAAACCTCGCCCACACGGGATTTTTGCATGGTGGGCCCCCCCCTGCGCCACGGTTAGCACTCGTTCATGGAAATCCGGATCGACTTTCGCTTCGACTCTATAATCCTTAGGTTACCTTGGACCCCGTAGCGATTATCGTCGCAGAATCAACCCCAATTAATCCTCGTGGGACGCTCCCCTAGTGTTGATAGGCTGCGCCTAGAGCTAATCGATTCGCTTTTACAGGCCAATTTCAGTCGCGACAACGTTTGCCGATCGCTCTGTCCTGGGACTCTGTAGCGTGGCACATCTCCCGTTATGATTCTAGCCTGTATGATGCTAATTTTAGATCCATGCCAGACATGCGCGCAGCATGTCGATGTTGCCCGACCTGTGGGTATCCGCTTTCACAGCCCTGGCTATATGTACTCGTTTTTAGCGGCACGTATACAAACCTTCTTTTCCATCAATACGATCTGGTTCTTTGAAACCATCCTTGCCCTGCGCACGGGCCCGTCTGATTTACGTCTTATTTTCCGCTTCAATCGTTTGATCACAGGAATCTTATATCCTTCCAAACGAGATTCTTTTCACAGGTTTGCCCAATTATGTCTTGCGATTATTATTTCGTCGCTCGACCAGATATCCGTGCGATACAAGCTTCAAAGAGTACAAATGCACTAGATCTCCGAGTTCCTTGGGTATCGCTGTTCTTATCACGTTACATTACTAGTTACTTCGAAAGGGCCAACCACTTGTTTCAATTCTAGAAAGCGACAGATGCAGCCGGCGATCCTCCCAGCGCATCACATACCCTCCGTGCCCTGTAATTGAAGTTGACCTCCCTTTTCCTCTTTTTTTCAGCTGCATCGACCATATGTTCTGATAAGGCGACTTCGATTTTTTTCTGCACTTTTGTTGCCATTCACTGACCGGTTTGTCGCTGAGCCAGTTGGTGCTCTGTTTCCAATTCGCGCCGTTGGTTGCGTTGTAAAGTGCTACAAGGGCTGCCCTGTCCTCCGCAGACCCATCTGGCAAGGGCTGTTCGATTTCAGGTGCCGGCTCCATGGGCTCACAGAATGGCAGTTCAAGTTCGGCGAAGTCGTTGTTTTCGATTTTCATCCAAGTACTCGGCAAGCATCCTGTGATCTCCGTGTCCGAACCGAGATACATCCATTCCAAGTTTGTGAGCCGTTCGAGTTCAGTCGGAATCTCGCCCGTAAATCTATTACCCCATAAGTTGAGACTGCTCAAGTTCGTCAGGTTGCCTAGTTGCGGAGGGATATTGCCGGACAGGTTATTCCCGTCGAGTTGAAGAGTTGACAAATTCGGTATGCTACCGAGTTCCGACGGAATTTCGCCAGTCAAACGATTGGCGGATAGTGAAAGATCTCGCAGATTTCCTAAACTGCCCAGTTCGAAAGGAATCCCACCAGTAAGGCGGTTTCCCCATAGATTGAGATACTCCAAATTGTCGAGACCACCCAATCCTGGTGGAATTTCGCCAGTCAAACGCTTGGCGGATAGTGAAAGATCTCGCAGATTTCCTAAACTGCCCAGTTCGAAAGGAATCCCACCAGTAAGGCGGTTTCCCCATAGATTGAGATACTCCAAATTGTCGAGACCACCCAATCCTGGTGGAATCGCGCCAGTCAAGTTGTTATCGCCGACGTCCAGCCAACGCAAGTGCACAAGCTTGCCCAACGCGACGGGGATTGTTCCTGAAAGGTTGTTCGACGAAAGATACAACGATGTTAAGAACAGCGCTTCACCAAGCTGCGTAGGAATCTCGCCTGTGAGAGCATTTTCATGTATCTCCAAGGATTCCAGGTTCGTCAGTTGACCCAGCTCCGAAGGGATGTTGCCCGTCAGACCGTTTTCCCCGAAGTTAAGAGTTTCTAGGTGCCACAATTCACCGACCTCCGGCGGAATCGTCCCGTTGAGGTTGTTTTGCTCCAAACGCAGTTCGGTGACGCGACCTAAGGCATTGGTGGTAACACCGTGCCATTTGCGGATCGGTTCATCGGTGAGCCAGTTCGTATCGTTACGCCAATTGGATCCCTTTGTATGGTGGTAAAGCGCATGCAAAACGGCTCTATCGGCTGCCGGTGTATCAGGTATCGCCGGCGTGGGCGTGATGGTAGGCGTAGGTGTTGCCGTAGGTGTGTCGGTGGGCGTCGGCGTGACCGTGGGTGTAGCTGTATCCGTCGGCGTAGGAGTGATCGTAGGCGTCGCAGTGTCCGTCGGCGTAGGAGTGATCGTAGGCGTCGCAGTGTCCGTCGGCGTAGGAGTGATCGTAGGCGTCGCAGTGTCCGTCGGTGTAGGAGTGGAAGTAGATGTGGGTGTTGCCGTGCCCGTGGGCGTTATAGTCGGTGTGGATGTAGTCGTTGCTGTAGGAGATGGCGACGAAATAACCGTAGGGAAGAATGTCGGTGTAGGAATCGCTGCAAGTGTCGCCTCTACTCGTGCCATCACCTCGGACTCGAAATCGGGCGTCGCAGTCGGCACCGCCACCGTCGGCGTCGATGTGGGCGCAGGTGTCGGAGATGATGTCGCAGTCGGCACCGGTGTCGGAATTGCCGCAAGAGTTGCCTGCACTCGCACTTCGACTTCCGACTCGATATCTGGCGTGGGCAGTACCGGCACCGGTCTCGGTCCGGCGGCGCGTTCACACGCGGCTACCGTCAGCCCGATAAACGACAGCGCCATAAGCGAGCAGAACGCAATCGCCGCTGTTTTCGTAGGCATCGCTATAGCCTATAATGCCGATTTACCGCACTGGAAGGATAAAGTTATCGTTATCTGAAGGGGGCGGCACTAGCCTTCAAAGACCTGACAATCGCTTCGCAGGCTTGTTTGTAGATGATGGCGTCGACGTTGATGGAGATGTACTGGATGCCGAGGTCGATGAGCCACTTGCCCAATTCGACGTCTTTGGCGTAGGATCCAACCGCCCTGCCTTGGGAACGGGCTTTGTCGGTGGCTTCGCGTAGAGCGGATTCGACGATTGGGTTGCGGACGTCACCGGGGTAGCCGAGGGATTGTGAGATGTCGTAGGGACCGAGGAAAAGCACATCGATACCGTCCACGGTCATGATTTCGTCGAGGTTGTCCAGGCCTTTCTTGCCTTCGATATGCACAACCGTCATCGTCTCGTCGTTTTGGCGGTCGGTGTGGCCCTCACCGTCGTTGTCGAAGTAGTTGCCGGCGCGCGTGAAAATCGAAAGGCCGCGTGCGCCGAGGGGGGCGTATTTGGCTGCATGCACTACCGCTTCGGCGTCGGGGATTGAGTTGATTTGAGGAACCTGGACACCTTCTGAGCCGACGTCAAGGGCTCGTAGGATGAGGCGTTCGTCGTTGTCGCCAACACGGATGATCGGCGCGACGCCAACACCTTGAGCGGCGATCACGAGGTCGGTTGCGGATTCTTGGGATATCGGGCCGTGCTCAGTGTCGATGATGCAGAAGTCCATCCCGGAGTAGCCTAGGGCGTCCATCAATGGCACCGATGGGATGATGACGAACGGTCCTACGACGGTTTCGCCCGCTTGAAGTTTCTTCTTCAGTCCGCCTCGGATGGACATTTAGTCACCTGCTTTGCTTGGTAGTTCAGACCACGATAAATGGCACTATGCTTTCGGCGGTGGTTATCCCGCCATGCATCGATTGTAAAGATACTTCTTCTTCGGTATCGGACGCGTATATCGACCATCGGCCACGCGACAACGCGAAGAAATACCCATCCGACCTCGTGAAGCATCGGTAATCAGTTCAACAGGACCGAAGAGACCCATGTCGATGGCGTCTTCGCTCCGCATCAGGGTGAAGCGATCTGCCAGTGCGGCGGCGAAAAGGTCTTGGAAGGCTTCATCTGAACCGGGTTTCGTGTGGAAGAAGAGCGTCCGAGGTTCACCGGCGGGGACGCAGGTCAAGTGCTGACTCAGCGGCCCGGAGGGCGTAAGCGTGGTCCAAGCTTCATCCGGGCTGTCGAGATGGCCATGATCGGCGGTTACGATTACTCTGGCCCTGCCTTCCAACGCATTGCCAAGGGCTTCGGCGAGGGCGGTCGCGCGATGGACGGCCGCCCTGGTGAAGGGATGAGTTTCGCCATAAGCGTGCGCGCAGCTGTCGACCTCGGTGAAGTAGACGTAGGTAAACGATTTGCCGGGAGCGGTTGCGATGGCGTCGAGAACGTGGTCGACTAATTTGGGAGATGGTATCGCCTTCTTTCGGGTAACCCGCGGTTTGGAGCGCTCCGTACATCTGGGTTGTAGTTGAAGCTGCCAGGTTGTCTTCGACAACGAAGGTGAATGAACCGAGGTTTCTAAAAGGGATCATCGGCGCGAGGAGGAGCTCCATGGGGCTGAAACCGACTTCATGCAATGGCTGTCCGGTTCGAGTGAGCCGCCATGGGAGCGGCTGGATCCGTTCTCCCAAACGCGGAATGTGGACGTCCCAGCCTAGATTTCCGTGGGTCCCAGGCCATCTGCCGGTGGCGAGGGTCATCAGATTGGGGCCAGTCGATGTTGGAAGCGTCGAGCACATCGTGAACGCGTTCTTTTGCCGGACATACGAATCCGCGCGCAAGGTGTCGACGAAGTTCATACCGAAGCCGTCAAGCAGCAAAAAGACGACATGGTCGGGTTGACCAATACGTCTTCGAATCTCAACGAGGCCGATTGCGTTGCATCGTCGAAAGTATCAGGTTCAAGGACGCCGAGGGTTTTGCCGAGGGCGAATCCCAGCGCGGCGTGATTAGGCTCATCGTGCTCGGCGATGATGCCCTCGAATTCATCGTCCAACGAAGCGATGAGATCGGATTTGTTGTTGATCAAGGGATTATCCACCGCAGAGTAGGCGTCGACTAAACGGACGACATTCCTCAAGAATAATTCGCAACCGAGTGAACGAAACCGCTTCGAGTCGTACCCTGAAATAATGCCAAACGCCAATGCAAACGCGACGGTGATGTTTCTCGGCACGGGGACATCGGAAGGTATACCTCGGGTTACGTGCTTGACGGCTGATCCGCCGACTTGCCCCGTGTGCACCGATGCGATGCGTCCAGGTTCTAAGAATCGTCGACGCAACACCGGGATCGTTGTCCAACGCGAACAGACGGACGGCCCGCCGGTAAACATCTTGATCGATGCGGGAAAATTTTTTTACCAGGCTGCTATTGAGTGGTTTCCCAAGCATGCGATTCGCACGATCGACGCGGTCGTTTTAACGCACGCCCATGCCGATTCGGCGGGTGGTCTGGACGATCTGCGGGATTGGACGAATATGATGCGGTTTGCGAGCGGCGATGAACATGCGGCACTGCTGGCGCGTGGGCGACATGCTCGGATCCCGATATTTTTGCGGAACCAAGACCTCGAAATCGTGTCGAAGACCGCCTACTACTTGGTCGATCGGACGCAGATGACCAGTGGTGGCACCGTGGCGATTTTGGATTTCCAATCCGTCGACGAGCGGCCAATCGACGTCTTCGGCACGTCGATAATTCCGCTGCCGGTGCCTCATGGTCCCGATTATTCCTGCAACGGATACAGGATCGGGGACTTCGCTTACATCTCCGACGCTTCGGAGGTACCTGACAGTGTGTTGGATCAAATACCCGACGTGGACACCCTCGTTATTGATGCCCTAAGGACTGAACGCACCCACGGCTCGCACCTGACGATGGAGCAAGCGGTAGAGTATGCGAAGATCATTCGGCCCCGGCGAACTTTTTTGACCGACGCCGCGCACGGAATTGACCACTACGCGATGAATGCCCGGTTGCGCGATCCAAAATTCAACGACGGCCTAGATATTCAATACGCTTACGACGGGATGAGCATCGAGATCAGCGCGGAGTGACGATTGATTCATCGGATTACGACGTACCGTTCTTCGATGATTTTCTGGAAGCTTTCTGATGTCTTGTGCCAGTCGTGGATGTCGACACGGATCGGAAGGTCGGATTCATCAAACGCGTTTCTCAGATCCATCAATTGGCGTCGATCGAGTTCGTCCGGCCCGACAATCGAGATGTCAAGATCAGAATATTTGCGAGCATTGCCACTGACCCTTGAACCGTATGCCCGGACTTCGCAATCGGGAAAGTATCGGCCGACGATAGTCTTGACCAACTCGAGATATTCGGGTTTGAGGTCAAGCATCTTTGGAACTGAGGACGTGTAACAGCGCTTCTGCGTCTTCGATGAAACTTGGGATGGTGTCATCGATCATTTGCAAAAGAGCCTTCGTCGTACCGGTGTAAAGTACGATTTCTTTCTTCGTGGTAGTTGAACCAACGCTCTACCCCATCGATTAGGTCGTACTGGCCCGCAAATCGGTACATTTCTCTCCGCGAAACCCCTCGCACCTCGGCTCCGTAGTTGTTTCGCAACCAGCGTTCAATCAAAACACGACTGATTTCGTAAGTGAATTCGAAGTGTTGGATGACGCCGGACATCATTACGTTTTGAGAAACTTCGTCCAACGAAGCCATCAAAGCGTCGTCGCGAGTCCTTTCCAACCCAGCTTTCAAAGCGGCGATGGCACGCTCCAAGTGGTTTAGTTCTAACGGCATTGCTTACGATGCTTGCTCGAAACCTAGCTCGCTGCGTCCCGCTCAGCGCGGTATTGAGCGATCACAGCGTCGTCGGGTGGGTAGTATTTGCCTGGGGTAAGGTTCTCGCGGTCGAGGCGGGCTCGGATCCACTCTTCAAGGTCATCGTATTCGATGGCTTTTGGGCGATGTCTGGAGCGACGACACGCGGGATGCAGACTACGCCGTCATCGTCCGCGACGATGTAGTCGCCAGGTTTGACGAGGACGCCATCGCAGTTGATGGCGTCGTTGGTGGAGTACGGGGTGCCAACGCGGGTTCCGAGGTTGGAAGTCTTGTCATAGCCGTAGAGGGCGATACCGTAGTCTTTGACGGTGTGCATGTCACGGATGCCGCCATCGCAGACAAGACCGTCGATGCCGCGCTGCTTCAGGCGGAGGAACTTGATGTCGCCGCCGATCGACATGCGTTTGTTTCGCATCGATTCCATGACGATGACGTCGCCTGGGCCGCCGAGTTCGAATGCTGCGTATTCAGGCGACTCCTCGCCGCCGGGTTTTTCGGCCATTAGGTCGGGACGGGCTGGAAGGAACCGAACAGTGATGGCTCGAGCGACGAGTCGGACGCCGGGATTCATCGTTCGGATTTTCGGCATGTAGACGTAGCGCGGGTCGTGTCCGTTGCGGGCGAGGATGTCGACGACTGCGGTGGAATTGACGAGTTTGAGCGCCTCGATGGTTGCGGAATCTAGGACGTGATCGGGGGTTGGTTGGATGATGGCCAAGGGTTTGTGGGCTCCGAGAGGGTTTCTTCAGGGGTTCGCAGATTTAGATTTTAGATTTGCCATGGAGATGCGGTACGTGTTCGATCTGTCAATCGCGAGGACCGAACTCCTCGCTTTCATCCGCTAAAGCAGCGAAGTTTGTGATGCCGATTTCGCCTTCGGGGAACTCGGCGGTGATTTTGAGTTTGCCGCCAACCGCCTCGATGTAGGAGCGTAGGCTGGAGATGTAGGCATCTGTTCGTTGCTCCATCTTGGAGACGGCGGGTTGGTTGACGTTCAGCGCCTGTGCCAAATCTTGTTGGGTCAGCGCCCGGGCTCGCCGAAGTTCGTGCAGAGGCATCTCGGCGATCATTTTGTTTGTCATCTCGTCGATGCGACGGCGTCTTTCGGGAGAGAAGTCTTGGTCAGTTCACTCCAAGGTTTGTGGCCGGCCATTTGATCAGCCTTCTTTCCGTATCTCTTCAAGGTGTTGGTCGTATAGGTCGTCGGCGATCGGGACGAATTGTTCGTAGAACCGATCGTCGCCGGTTTGGTCACCCCCTATGAGGAGGATGGCGGTTCGACGGGGGTCGAACAGGTACAAGGTGCGCAACGGGCGACCGCCGCTTTGAGTGCGCAGCTCGCGCATTACACCGTGTCGAGAAGCATTGATGCCCGAAGTGTGAGGGAAAGGTAATCTTGGCCCTTTATCGCATACCTCAGCTCAGCCTGACGTAGCATTAGCGATCCTGCTACCGTTCAGTAGGCACGAAGCACCATCCTCGAATTCATCTGTGTATTCGACGGCCCACGACATAGTTGCATTTTATTCCTATTTAAGAATAGTCGTCATGTGGAATGATGAACAATTTGACGGTGACCTGGAACGAAATTCCTTACGCCACCACCCATTCGGCGGCGAACCGTTGCACAAGCTCGGTGTGTATGTTCTTCGCTTACGGGAGAACGAAATCGTCGATGGTTATGTTTTCGTTGGGGGCGTGGATTTTGTGGGTTGGGTGGTCGATGCCGGCGGATGTGATTGGGATGCCGAGGACGCCGCCAAAGTCGTGCATCGGACCGGATCCGGCCATCGTGGGATAGATGACGGCTTGCTTGCCGTAAGTTTCTTCGGAGGTTTCGATGGCCATTTGGGCCCATTTGGAGGACATGTCGGTTCGGAATGGATGAACGCCGCTGATCAGGTTGAGGTCGACGTTTCGAAGCCGTGACGATCTAAGTGACGACGGACTGGCGAAGATGTCATCGGGACGCATGTCTGGGACGAGTCGAAAGTCCATTTTGGCGGTGGCTTTTGCAGGCAAAACAGTCTTCATGCCTTGGCCTTGGTATCCAGCGTCGAGGCCGGCGACGTTGGCTGTGGGCATGAAAAGGTGTTTGCGTGGGAGGTCTTCTGAGCCTAGACCGGCGACGAACGAGGCGTTGCCGAATGTCTCGCGCCACTCATCGGAGTCGTCCGGAGGTTGGCGAGCGCACGATCTTCTTCGGGAGTCGATTCGCGGATGTCGTCGTAGAAGCCTTCGATCAGGATGCGGTCGTCGGAAGGGTCTTTGATGGAGTTGAGCGCGTTGATGAGAGTCCATGATGCGGATGGGAGGATGGTGGCGTACGAGGAGTGGGCATCGCCGCGGAGGAGTTGGACTGAGAGCTCTACAGCTAGGACCCCTTTTAGGCCTAGGTAGATCAGAGGCCGGTTTTGGGCGTTCCGACCTTCGCCCTCCCAGATGCAAGCATCGGCAGTCAGTGTGTCCGCGTACTCGATGATCAACCCGGGGAGATTTGGCGAGCCAGACTCCTCTTCGCCTTCGGCGAATATCTTGATGTTGCACGGCAGTCCGGCCCACTCTTCCCGGAAGGCGTTGATGACGGCGAGACGTGCAGCGATATTGCCTTTGTCGTCGGACATCCCGCGGCCGTAGAGGCGATTCGCCTTTGCGCGTCGGTTCGAACGGGTCAGTTTCCCAGAGTTCGATGGGATCAGTTGGTTGGACGTCGTAGTGGACGTAGAGCATCAACGTGGGCGGTTCGCCGGATAGATTCTCGATGCCTGCTAGGCTCTGAGCGCGGCGAAACGCATCATTGTCTGCCGGGCGGGCGTAACCGTAAACGGAAGGCAGACCATCATTCGGCGCTTCGAGGATTCGGGTGTCGAAGCCGTGTCGGGTGAAGATGTCGGCGACAAGTTGAGGTGCGCGGTCGAAGCCTAGGCGTTGTGCGGAGACACTGGGTTGCCTGACCAGGGTGAATAGGGTTTCCAGCGATCGATCGACGCTATCTTCGATGTGTTGGAGGACTGAATCCATGTTTCGGGCTCCTACGCTGTGATGAATGAGTCGCCTATTGCTCGGCGGCGCCGGGCATTCCGGGTTCTAGGGGGACGGATTCAGGTGGCACGCCACCGGCAAGGAATCCGCCGTCAACCGTGATGGTCTGGCGTTCACGTAGTCTCCGAGATCGGAGGCGAGGAATAGGCAGGCGTTGGCGATGTCGCGAGGGACGCCCCGCCCCGGCGGTTGGGGATGTAGTCGCGGGCATAGTCAACGTAGCCTTCGAGTTGGCCACGAGTGTGCTCTAGTCCTGAGGAAGGACGCGGCTGTCGATGTAACCACAGCTGCGACGCAGTGGAGAGTGAATGCCGTGCCGGCGAGGTCGACTGCCGTGCTGATAGCATGCGGGTGGGCCAACAGCTTCACGATGCCATAGACGGTGTCTTGGGGCCACGCGCGGTAGCTGTGGACGCTGCTGAATCGGATTGCGTCTCCACTGCCTGCTGATCAGCTCGACGCGCGTTCGACGTTGGGCACAGAAGAGATAGCCCTTGAGAGCGTGTCCGACGAGGAAGTCCCAGAAGTCTTCGGTGATTTCGGTGAAGTGGGGATCGGCAGACGCGACGGCGTTGTTGACTAGGATGTCGATCTGTCCGTGGGTCGCGAGGAAGTCGTCGAACATTCGGGTACGATCATCTCTGCTTCCGACATCCGCTTGATGCCAAGTTGCGACACGCCCCATAGCCTCGATTTCGGCGATGGTGCTGTCGGCGTTTTCGTCTCGTTCGATGTCGTTGATGCCGACAGCGGCGTCCGTTTCTCAGGCGGAAAGCTTACGCGTGCGATTCCGGCGGCCACAATGATGCCGTCGCAGTGAGCCGTAATGAGATGCTTTTTGTCCGCTTGAGTAGGTCCATGGTTGAGTTGTCTCCTTGGCTTTCAGAGCGTTGCCAGACGTATGAGTTCGTTATTGCGTTGAAGCCAACTTTAACGCCAATTCGATTGCTGATTGGACGTCGGGCAAACGATACTCCCCTTCGCCTTGGTTGTCGGCAGCCAAGCGGGAGAAAAGGATGCTGGCCTCAGTAACGGGAATGCCGGTGCTCTCTGGACGGCGTAGGCGTACGCTCCGAGTTGCGGGATGTAGGGTTCGGCCATCTCGGTGATTGAGCGTTGAAGGAACGGTCGGTTTGAAGTCGGCGATTACCGAGGGTGCCGTCTGCTCGGCGATAGATGAGGTCGACTTCGCGCGCTCAGATGACCTTCGCGGAACCGTGCTCTCACCCGCTAAAGCACCATTTGGACGGCGAGCTGGAGAGTCTACGACCCAGAGGTCTCTCGACTCTCATGGCTGCGACCCGTTTGACTAACGGCATATTTAGGGTCGCGACGGTAAGGCGGATGATTTCGTCCACATTTTCGGCAACGCCGTGTTTTTCAGCTTCGCTGCGCGCGATTTGATTGAGGTCGGCATGAGGTATCTCCATGCACCTCTGCACTGCGGCGTGGACGGCACTTCCAATGCTGGTGGCGGCACGGCCTCTGCCGATCGGCTCG